TAAATCATTCTTACCGCTCCGACATTACTTTTAGATTCCACTATTAATAATAGAACCTTTAAAACTTTCCGTATTATCGGATGATATCCATTATTCAATAAATTACATATCTAAAAGATGATTCAAGAATGAATAACTTTCGGTAATGATATTAATGATACTATAAATCTAAACAAAAACCTACATGAATCGTATTCATATCAATTTTCTTTGAAAGATTCTTAATAACATTCATTATTCCGTTAATAAGTTCGGCATCAACTATAATAGTTGTTTGTTCGATTTTTTTTATATCAGCGATTATAGAGAGAATTGGGACCAAGATTTCATTAGGAACTGTCTAAATATATGATAATTGTTCATTAGCATTAGTGAATAAAATTTTATAATTATAATTTTCAAAAAAAGATATATATACACGTACCTCAAAATCTGTATTATGACTATTGACTATGTAATTTTCTACAACGAAACATTTATTTAACATATTCAAAATACGCCAACCAACATGATGAACTATTTTCTCTTCAAAATATTCATCACTATCTTGTAATAATTGATGCCTAAAATCCTTCAAAATGTGATGATAAATTTCAAGCACAGCTTCAGTTCCTGTGCCAAAAGAAATACTATGTTCATTCTCGAGAGACGCATAGTTAAAGTTATAAAGACCAGTTATTAAGGATTCCTGAGTTTCTATCACATCAATTTGATCTAAACACTAAAGTTAACAAAAATGAATTAATATCGACCAGTTGCATTTTCTTCAATGTATAAAAACATTGTAATATTCATTGACTTTACTTCTTTATTAGATAGAAAGAAGATCCATTGGATTAATAATTTCTGGGCTGTATACACAATAAATTTATTGTCGTTCGTAAGAAATTGTAACTGTGAATAAATAATTATGGAATAAAAAATGAGTAATAATTATAGAGTAAAAAAAAAAATATTAAAATTTTAGCAATAGAATTATACCAAGATTTGTTGGTGCTTTGCTATAATACTGCAATACAAGAGTGCATTCTTATCAGAGGTAATGGATACATGTTGGTAGAAAGTTTTTAATACTCTATTGATCCTGCAAAGTATATCCAACAGTATATCAGGACTTTGAATAACTGTGTTCTTTATAAAGATTGAGATAGTTTTAAGGAAAAATGAATAGGTCAGCAAAAAAAATTTTTAAATCGAAAATATTAAAATTGGTACGTACCTCTAAAAAGGTTTTAAGACATTTTATTTGATGAGCTGATATGTGCGAATTTTCGATTGTATCCATATCGATATTTAATTTTAACGTTAATGTCAATTAGAGTTACACACGTATTAAAATGCATCTATATCAGATATGTCATGTTAATGCATAGTAAGCCAACAAAAGATGCGTCACATGACCATAGGTCGGAAGATAATCTTCCCCACGGGGAATCTACGGACAGTGCTTCTCCAGTATCGCCAACAAAATTTTTACCATCACGTGATGTCCGACAAACTTCTTTATGTTAGGGTTAAGGCCCATTTTAGTGTTAGAGTTAAGGGTTCTAAAAGTAAATCGTTCAAGAAAAACTTTTTGTTAATGCGAAGGTGGTTTCCTATGCTGTTTTGAATTTTTCTGACCGCGTAACGTTACACCAAATCGAGATTCATTATTGGCTTATTTTCGTCGATCATCATGTGATGGTAGTAATTTTGTCAATTTGGTTGGCGATCCTGGGGTAGTTGCATAGGGACAGTGCAATTACGTGATAATAATTAATAAGGTAGCTGCGCGACGCTGTCACGCGAAACTAGGAACGTAAATTTATGAGTGTGCCAGAATTGTTTATACAGCACAGGCGGCTTTTCCAGACTGATCCTAATAACTGATAAAAAATAACGGATTAAATTTATAAGATACTAGTGCGTTAGGTAACACTTGGTGCCACCTCTTTTTAGTAATTAAAAATAAAAATTGATACTGAAGATTTTGAAATAAATCTTAAGGGTAAAATTACTAAATTTGGCCAAACTAAGCTTAATTTGAGGCAAAATTCAAATAACGTCCATTCCCGCTATTTTGCACTGGCTAAATTGAACTAAAAAAGTATAGTGTGATAGCAAATATTAATGATAAGAAGTTATGCTTATGCAGTATCAAATTTTAGTAAACCTTTTGTAGCATAATAAATAACAAATATACCCAATATTTGAAATCATTAACCTATTGTTAAAATTTTGAACAAACCTATCAAAACTGTGAACATATCTGCTGTTAAAATCAAAAATCTGTCTATCACTAAAACGTGAACGTATGTATTACACTGATTAAATTATGAATTCACATTGTTGAAATTATCAGCACAACTACTATTAAAATCACGAACTAGCCATTATGAATTGCGAACATTTACTTTTAAGATCATTAGTCCACCCACAATTCTGAAATCATGAATAGTACTTCGCATAATCAAATTTTGAATCAAATGTTTGATCAAATTTTTAAAAAATTTGAAATTTTGATTTGATTTTGCAGAGTACTACATGCACGAAAATAAATGGGGCTAGACATACATTTGATTCTTTTAAATGATTGATCACTCTAATGTTATATGGTTTAAGTTTCTACTAAACAACAAATGATTAGATTTAAGTACAGTTAACTCTGATTATACTAAATCCTCAGTTTAAAAGTTTATTATGTCATAAACTGAACTTATTAACAAAATTGTAAAATGTTTTAACATTTTGTGTTCTGTTTTACAGAGTTATTAAACATTCAGTTATCCAGCTTTGACTTAGGGTGCTTTCAAGCATCTCTCTCAGTGTAATTAGCTACTATAGAGATCATATACAAGTACTACAATCAATTGAAGTAAACCTTATGATAATTTTGTCAAAGGTTCATGTTGCGAAACACGGCTATTAAATTTTAGCCAATCAGCACAACACTATGATAAAAAAAGATAGTCTCTAACCATCATTTTTTTTTATCATGATAATAAACTCACTTGACTGAATAATTTATTTTCCACTAATTATAAATTAAACTTAGACCTATTGATTTAGATGCTTAAAAGCACCCTTAGAGAATATCTGTATATAACTAAGAATTGTTTTGGAACTGAGATCGAACCAGGGTTGGAGTTAAAATATTAATAAACTGGTTTTATTAGAGACCAGAGCAGATTGAGCCGTGGGGATCCTAACAGTCCTACCAGCCCAGTCTCGGTTCAATTTTAATAGTTCAAAATCTTAAAGAATTAACTGGTTTGGGCTAGTCCTAGTTAGTCTAGTCTTAAAACTAAAAGCAGTTTTTTCAGGTTCAGCCCAGTTTTAAAACTAACTGTGGTTTATCAGTTTAGAACAGATTACAGTATAGCATCTCTGTTGAACCGAGTCCATCTATCCCTAGATTGGCTTACAAAACTAAGTTTGGATACCTGCTAATAAATAATGCTACTCAAATCGATTGTCAATAGTAGTAAAGCATAACTTGTATATTTTAAATTTTAGGTGTGATCTAAATTAATTACTGAAAAAAGTTAGCTTTAGCGTTAGTATAAATATTAATGTAAAACTCAATAGCAATAGAATCTTGTATGTATATACATACATAATATAAACGTAATTTTCTCAATTGTATTTAAAATATTTTGATTTCTCAGATCAACAACCTTTAAGTCCATTTAGAGTAATACATATGTATGTACATACATACCAGATTAATACAAGTTAAAAACTTGTAGATCTTTACAAAATAATTTTCACATGACAAGATCATGCTACCCAATAAGATCCAAGATTTTGTACACAGTTAGTTGGCTGTTAACCATACACTTCATTTCACTATGTTCCTGGTATTTATATAGATCATTTTTTTAAAATTTATCTTGACAACTACCAAACCGAATTTAATAAATTTTTTCATTATTTAAATTCTACAGATTAGTAGAATTCAAATAAAAAAAATTTGTCAAATTTGATTAGATAGTTATTGAGATACTTTGCTTAAAGTTAAAAAAAAATTTGCCGAGTCTATTATTTTTATAAATGTTTAAAACTTTGATCAAAGATTTCTTAACAGCCACCTTACAAAATTTAATAAATTTTTTTATTCAAATTCTACAGATCAGTAGAATTCAAATAAAAAAAAATTTATTGAATTTGATTAGGCAGTTATCAAGATACCTTCGATCAAAGTTAGAGAAAATTTTGCTATAGATATTTAATATTAATAATTTTGGTCGAAGGTATCTCATTAACCACCTGATCAAATTTGGTGAATTTTTATTAGTCAAATTTTGCGAATCAGTAAATTTTAAATAAAAAAAAATTTGATTAAATTTGGTTGGGTGGTTGTTGAGATACTTTTGATTAAATTTTAAACAAATTAAACTGTCTATAAAGATAATATTGCAGCAAAATTTTCTCTAACGTTTTGTGATAGTATCTCAATAACCATCAAATCAAATTTGATGAATTTTTTTTATTCAAATTCTATGAATCAGTAAAATTTAAATAAAAAATTTTCATTGAATTTGGTCTGGTGGTTGTTGAGATACCTTCAAAAAAAAATTAAAACATTAATAAAAATAGTTGTGGCAAAATTTTTTCGAACTTTGAGCGAAGATATCTCAATAACTATCTGATTAAATTTAACAAATTTTTTTTTATTTGAATTCTACTAATCTGTAGAATTTAAATAATAAAAAATTTATTAAATTTGGTCTTGTGGTTGTCAAGATAAATTCAATTAAAATTTAAAAAAATTGATCTACAAAATTTAATTATATCACGTGATTGAACTGTTTCTATGCATAAGAAAACCTCCAATGTTACAGAAAATTTTGGTAATTCTTAATTACTTCATAATTTGTTAATTATTACATATATTATATTTTTTCTTTTATGTATATATTATTGTTATTTGTTATCTCATTTTTATTATATTTTTATTACTTCATTTTTATTATATTTTGTTATTATATCTTTGCTATGTAAATATTGCTACATTTCTCTTATAACTTTTTCCATCCAATGATTGAGACCTGTATATAAGGAATTGCTCCTAGACAATAAGAATAGAGAGAATAGATAGATCCTAATAATAACTCTTGTATTATATAATTGTATATAATTCTCTCTGTAAATAAATAATAGCTTTCATATATTATATAATAAAATACTTACTCCATATAATTTGTATTGCCCCAAAGCTAATTTGTTGAACACAAATACCACTCTCCCAATTTGGATATAACATTTTGTGCTGATTGTGTGGAATGAGCAAAAGCTGAAGCTGTGTTATATTATAAAAAAAAAATATTAGATCTGGTAAATAATATTAAGCCAGTTAAGGAAAATAAAAGTTCTTGCAATGATATTAATAGTTTAGAAAATAAGAATAATCTGAGCCACCAACTGCAACAATTGGTTTGTGGTGTGGTAAATATTTTGGCCCAATTACAAGAGTCACAGATAAATTTTGAGAAACAGATTTTTGTGAAGATTCTGATATATGCAGGAGAAAATTAGAACTGGTCTTACCCCAGAATCCTGACACCCAAAATCCTGATACCAAAATTTCAACAGTACAAAATCTCAACATCTAAAATCTCGACAGTACTAAATTCTGATATACTAAAATTCTGACACTATCTACATAAATTCTAACATCTAAAATCTTGATAGTGGTACAATCCTAATAGTGACAAAACCCCAACAATATCACAATGCTGACAGTAACAAAATCCTGACAATCCAAAA